TGAAAAAAATCGATATAGAGAACACCTCTATACTCACCTCCTCCATCTCAAGCACTCTAGTGTCCCACATCACCAACACGTCTCTTGATACCCCTGATGACCCCAAAAACTGATACCCTACATGTTTTCCTTCCCATGAGCGGCTAATCACCGCCTTCGAGATAAACTCCATCTTAGTTTCTTGTAAGCATACAAGATTTGCCCCCATTCCCTTAGCAGATGTCGAACACCAAGCCTTTTATCAACCTCATTGAGCCCCCGTACATTCCAGCTAATGAGTTTTAGCATCATTTTAACACTCTGTCACCCCTCTCCATTGTTCCTTTCTTGGACTCGCTACACTTACCAGCATAATTTATTAACCATTCGAGCCTCTTAAGTTTGCGACTTCTTAATTTACCTCCATGTGTACTGATGCCTTGTCTCCTATTAGCCTCTAGCTCCTCGAATAATTGTAACAGTCTACTTTCATATCCATCACATGACACGCCAACCAACTTACTAAATTCTTGAATTTTTTGTGGAACCCAGTTCGAAGGTGGGTGTCCAACTTCAAACACATCAGTTTTCGAAGTTTTCTCTTCGGGATTATTTCTACCCTTTATCAAGTAGGTTTACAAGAGTTCTGGCTTGGCGACAATTTCTTCCATATGACCGCATGGAAATGTATCATGCTGTCGCATGGTACAAAAGTTCGTCAGAATTTTCCTTTTCCGTGAATTTCTTTATTTTGTTAGAATTTGATATTAATTAGACTTCTTTCCATATTTTGACAATTTTGCACGATTTTAGCTAGGTCTTTAGCTTTAGTATAAATACTCCCTCCATTATATTGTAAAGGACTTTTGGCAATTATTATTGAATTCAAGAGAGGCCTTTGCTTTCTTCCAATTTGTTCTTCTTTGAACAATAATTTAGAACTTATCAACGATAATTCCTTGTGGCGTTCAACATCGGATTGTGGGTCCTTCAATTGGTAAGCAAGGGGTCCATTGCATCACCGTTATATTTGGGTTCTTTGTTTCATCTTGTTGGGTTCAAATCCAAACTGGTTATCAATTGGCGTTCTTGGGTTCCGCATCAATATAGTTGTGAATTTCGTAGTCTAAGTTACTATGGGGTTCACATCAGTTGGTATCAGAGCTTTGGTCCCAATTTATTCAGGTTCTATCTTTAATTTTTTTTGTTTGGGTCATAGTTTTCTTGATTTCCAAATTTCTTCCTTGTTCTTGAGTCATTCTTCAATTCATTCCTTCAATCCGTATTTTTTCGTTGGTAGTATAATCTCGTGTTAAAAAAAAGTTACTGTTCATCCGGATATTTAAAAAAAAGATTATTGTTCACGACCAAAGAAAAAAAATATTAATTGCTTGATTTGCTACCAACAAGTTCACATTCAAATTCCTAAAGTCCAAAGTTCTTTGTTTCTTCAATTCTTCAATTTCGACAATTGATCCGTTGAGATTTAGTGAGTCCATTCAAATTTCATTTCATTTGTTTCCAAATCCCTTGAAAATTATTCTCTTGACTTACATTTCGAGTTGAATCCGCAAGTTTTAATTTGGTGAGTTTGTTATTGTTCTTGGAAGCTCTTGGTGAAAGTATTAAGTGGTAAAAGACAGAGTGGTGAGCTCATTAGAGAGTAAAAGCCAATTGTGTGATTCCGAGTGAAATATGGTGAGGTGGAAATTGAGAGAATGTCTGAACAAGAAGGTTCCAACTCAAATCGACACGGCTATCACAGCAATGCATCGGAGGATTTGATACAACAGTTTGAACTTGCTTTTGGGATTGTTAGAGATAGGCTGGATCAACAGGATGCTTAGAGGGCTAAGCAGGAAGCTAGGATGACGAGCATGGATACATCAGTGGCTAATCTTAGTAGGGAGCTGCGGGTGGAGGTATCTAATACCATGAGGTTGGGGAGGCGGGAGCAAAGGATGGAACGGGATGCATTTGATTTGGGCAGTGAATGGGATGATGAGAAGTATAGAAAAGTGGGAATGGGACGGATGAGAAATAGCGGTGGTAGGCTTGAACGACGGGGTATGAATAATCACGGAGATGAGGCGGATGGGAATATGTGCAATATCAAAATGTCCAATCCTCAATTTAAGGGAAGGAGTGACCCAGAGCCGTACTTGGAGTGGAAAAGAAAGGTGGAATTAATTTTTGAGTGCTATAATTATTCGGAGGAGAAGAAGGTGAAGTTAGTGGTGTTAGAGTTCATTGATTACGCAATAACCTGGTGGGATCAAGTGGTTACTACACAGCGAAGGTGTGGGGGAAGACCAATTAATACTTGGGAAGATTTGAAGGCGTTGATGAGGAAGAGGTCCGTTCCTAACCACTACTATAGGGAGATGCATCAGAAGTTGCAGAGCCTATATCAAGAATTGAGGAGCATAGAGGACTATCACAAGGAAATGAAAATGCTCATGATCAGGGCAAATGTGGTGAAGGATCGAGATGCTACCATGGCACGGTTTCTAAACGGTCTAAATCTAAAAAAATTCTAATGTAGTGGAATTGCAGCATTACGTAAAGCTAGAGGACATGTTGCATGTAGCCATAAAGGTGGAGAAACAACTAAAGAGGAAGGGGACTACGAGGCAGTCAGTGAATACTTCTTCTTCTAACCCAAATTGGAAGTCGAAGTAGGATGATAATAATAAAGGGAGTGAAGCGGTAACCAAAGGAAGAAGTGAGTGGCAGAATGGGAAAGAAGAAAGCGCTAGTAGGACAGTGCCAAAATTGGAGTCACAACCATCACAAAGCTGACACATCAAGTGTTTAAAGTGTTTGGGGACGGGACACATTGCATCTTGGTGTCCTAACAAACGAACCATGGTGTTGCGGGATAATGGAGAGGTGGTAAGTGAGAGCGAAGGAGAGTATGATGACATGCCAACGTTGGAGGATGTTGGTGATGAAGATGAGACGGAATTTGCCGTTGGGGAGCTGCTGGTCTCCAGGCAAGCACTTAACACTCAAATCAAGACAGATGATTCGGAACAACAATGAGAGAACATATTCCGCACTCGGTGCCACATCCACAATCAGGTATGTAGCTTGATTATTGATGGTGGAAGTTGCACAAATATGGCTAGCACAACTTTAGTTCAGAAATTGGATTTAGTATTATTGAGACACCCTACGCCTTATAAATTTTAGTGGTTGAATGAGAGTGGGGAAGTTAGGGTAAATAAATGGATGTTAATTAATTTCTCAATTGAGAGATATAGTGACAAGGTTGTATGTGATGTGGTGCCTATGCAAGCGGGTCATATTCTATTGGAGAGATCCTGGCAATTTGATAGGAAGGTTACACATGATGGGTATAGGAATCGATATAACTTTGTCAAGGATGGGAGGTCCATTACTCTTGCGCCATTAACACTGGCTCAGGTATATGAAGATCAAATAAATCTAAGAAATGAAGAAAAAATGTGAGAGAGAGAATCTACAAAAAATGAGAGAAGATAGTGAGCTTGTGTGTAAGAGAGAAAATAGCAAGGTGGCCGAGAAAGGGAGAAAGAGAGAAAGGCCACATGAGACGAGAGAAAAATAGTCAGTTGAGTGGAGAGAAAAAGAGTTAGTTGAACGGAGAGAAAGGCCAAAAGTGAACTTCTTTGCGAGGGCGAGTGAATTAAAAAAGGCTTTGAGTGATAAGAGATAAGTGTTGTTGTTAGTTTACAAGGAGTCTTTCCTCTCCCTTGAGGAGTCTAACACATCTTTCCCTAGCGTGGTTAAGTCTTTGTTACAGGATTTTGAAGATGTGTTTTCGGAGGAGGTGTCAAGTGGGTTGCCACCAGTTCAAGGGATCGAGCACCAAATCGACTTCATACTGGGGCTATCATTCCAAACCGACCAACTTATCGAAACAATCCCGAGGAGACGAAAAAAAAAAGCTTCAGAGACAAGTGGAGGAGTTGATGAGCAAAGGTTACGTGAGAGAGAGCATGAGCCCGTGTGCTGTGCCTGTTCTATTGGTACCAAAGAAGGATAGGACTTGGCGAATGTGCATGAACTGCAGAGCTATCAACAACATTACGGTAAAGTATTGTCACCCTATTCCTATGCTAAATGATATGCTTGATGAATTGCATGGTGCTTACGCTTTTAGTAAAATTGATCTTAAGAGCGAGTACCATCAAATTCGCATGCGGGAGGGTGATAAATGGAAAATGGGATTTAAAACTAAATATGGGTTATATGAGTGGTTGGTTATGCCGTTTGGTCTCATAAATGTACCAAGCACATTAAAATATGTTTTACGTGCTTTCATAGGAAAATTTGTTATAGTTTATTTTTGATGACATTTTAATATATAGCAAAGACCTAGGTGATCATTTAGAATATTTAAAGTACGTGCTTGTTGTGTTAAGAAATGAACGATTGTATGCTAATTTTAAAAAGTGCACGTTTTGCATGGATAGAGTTGTTTTTCTAGGATCTGTTGTTAGTTCTAATGGGGTAGAAGTGGATGAGGAAAATATTAAAGCTATTAAAGAATGGCCAACACCTAAAAGTATAACTGAGGTTAGGAGCTTCCATGGTCTGACTATTTTTTATAGGCGCTTTGTGAAAGACTTTAGCCAATCACGACACTATTAACTGAAATCGTTAAGAAAAGCGTAGTTTTCATTGGGGAAAAATACAAGAATATGCATTTAGCACCATTGAGGATAAGTTGTGTAAAGCACCTGTTTTGGTATTACCTAACTTTGATAAAACGCTCGAGATTAAGTGTGATGCATCGGGATAGGTATTGGAGCAGTGTTAATACAGGACAGGAGACATATTGCTTACTTTAGAGAGAAGTTGAGTGGAGCTGCGCTGAACTACCCAACATATGACAAGGAGCTGTATTCCCTTGTTCAACATTGGAGATTTGGTAGTATTACTTGTGCCCTAAAGAGTTCGTGATACACACCGATCATGAGTCCCTAAAGCACTTGCGAGGTCAAGGTAAATTGAACAAGCGACATGCGAGATGGATGGAGTTCATAGAGACATTTCCATATGTCATCAGATATAAGCAAGGTAATGAAAACGTAGTTACAGATGCATTGTCGCAATGGTACGTGCATCTTAACTCTTTAAGTGCGAAATTACTTGATTTTGAGTATATTAAGAGCATGTATGAAAATGACATTGATTTCTCAAAAATTTATAATTCATGTGCTAAAATGGCTGTTGATAAATTTTATAGACATGAAGAATATTTGTTTAGGGAGAATAAGCTGTGCATTCCAAATTGTTCTACACGTGAATTATTGGTAAGGAAAGCACACAGTGGGGGGGTCTAATGGGTCATTTTAGGATTCAAAAGACTTTAGACATGTTAGAGGAATACTTTTATTGGCCTAAAATGCGTAATAACGTAGAACAGATTTATGAGAAGTGCATAACTTGTAAATAGGCTAAATCAAAAGTTTTACCTCATGGCTTGGATATACCTTTACGTGTACCTAGTGAACCTTGAGTGGATATTTCTATGGATTTCGTGTTGGGGGACAAAGAAAGGTCAGGATTCTATCTTTGTAGTGGTTGATAGGTTTAGTAAAATGACACACTTCATACCATATCACAAAATCGATGATGCTACTAACATTGCTGATTTATTCTTTAGGAAGATAGTACGTTTGCATGGAGTCCCTAAGAGTATTGTGTCGCACCGAGATGTTAAATTTTTTAGTCATTTTTGGCGTGTTTTGTGGAATAAGTTAGGAACTAAATTGTTATTTTCTACAACTTGTCACTCACAAATGGATGGCCAAACTGAAGTAGTAAATAGGACCATGACTCAATTGCTTCGAATAGTTATTAATAAAAACTTAAGAAATTGAGAAGATTGCTTGCCATTTATTGAGTTTGCTTATAATCGTGCTGTACATTTGACTACATCTTATTTACCTTTTGAAATTGTGTATGGATTTAATCCACTAACTCCATTGGATTTATTTTCTTTGCCTGTGAATGAACGAGGTAGCATGGATGGTAAGAGGAAAGCTAAGATGGTGAAGGCATTTCATAAGAAGGTTCGTACGCAAATTGAAGAGAAGAACAAGCTCATCGCGTTAAAGGTAAACAAAGGACGGAAGCTTGTGACATTTGAACCCGGAGACTGGGTGTGGGTGCATTTCAGGAATGAACATTTTCCAGAGCAGCAAAAGTCCAAATTGCAACTGCGGGGAGATGGTCATTTCCAAGTCACTGAGAAGATCAACGATAATGCCTACAAAGTGGACTTGCCAGGTGAGTATTATACTCGACTACATTTGACGTTGCTAATCTTTCCCTTTTCGATGCAGGTGTAGATATGAGGACGAATCCTTTTGAAGAGGAAAGGGATGATGTGATCCAAGAATCAAACTTGAAGACGGCGAGTTTGAGGCGAGACTTGTTGATTATCGAAGGTGGACCGATGGCGTGATTCAGATCAAAGCAATTGAAACAAGCGATGGGATTGCTCGTTCAAGAAACCATTGATGGGACGATGTTTGAGACTCCAAATGGGATAAGTTTCGTGTTCAGGTCGAAAGCCGAATCAAAGTGGATCAACTCAGTACAAGCGGACAAAAACGGAGGCGAAAGTAACAACACCATGCGGCCGCATGGTTTTAAAGTGGTGCGGCCGCACAGACCTATTCAGGATTTTCTCAAGGGGCGACAGTTTCTTCCATCGACCGCATGGTACAAAAGTCCGACAGAATTTTCCTTTTCCACGAATTTTCTTATTTTGTTAGAATTTGATATCAATTAAACTTCTTTCCATATTTTGACGATTTTGCACGATTTTAGCTAGATTTTTAACTTTAGTGTAAATACTCTCTCCATTACATTGTAAAGGACTTTTAGCAATTATTATTGAATTCAAGAGAGGCTTTTGCTTTCTTCCTATTTGTTCTTCTTTGAACAATAATTTAGAACTTATCAAGGATAAGTGATAAGTTTAATTCCTTGTGGCATTTAACATCGGATCGTAGGTTTTTCAATTTGTAAGCAAGGGGTCCATTGCATCACCGTTATCTTTGAATTTTTTATTTTATCGTGTTGGGTTCAAATCCAAACTGGTTATCAATTGGCGTTGTTGGGTTTCGTATCAATATAGTTGTGGGTTCGTAGTTTAAGTTGCTACGGGGTTCGCATCAGGTTGGATCCTCATCCAACCCACCCCCACACTTGTGACAGCATGCCAATTTGATGGGGCCCATTTCAGGCCCACTTCCAACTAGCCTAAGTAATACATCCAATGCTCCTTTCAACTCCTGGACACGGGCCATTATTTCAGCCCTATTTAAACTAATGTCTTGACTTTCGTTAACATTGACTTTAATTGTCCTTTCCTCTTGCTGTAGCATCCGTTGGTTGGCATGCTTCAAGGTTTGTGAGTTTGCTGAAATGTCTACGTCAGTTATCCTTTGTCTATTTCATCCATTCACCGTTCGAATTTTGGCCTTATCCCCAACAACAAATGAGTCAACAACTGCTTGA